GCGGGAAAATCGAAATATTTACAATAGGTGTGTTTTCTAAAGGTAGAAGCGAAATATACTCTCACTTGTTTACTGAACATTTTTACTACTGACACTCCCAAATACTTTGCAGCCCACCAGCGCCCGAGCGGTAAAGTCGCTGAACACTGGTAGGTCGGTCCGAGGTTCGAATCCCGCGAACGGGCTGGCTGCATGAGTGTTTTCTTGGTTTTTCCCATGTGAAACGTGTACAAGAGCCAGTTTCCCTTAGAAAGTTCTCCACGAAGGCATCCTTTCCCTTAGGAAGATAGCTTTACTGTCCTTTGCCATAATTAAATACACACCCAAATACTTTGCTCAGAAAAGTAGAGTCTAACTTGCTCTTGATATGAAATGTAATTTGGTAGTGGGAAAAATTTAAATGTATATACATTTCAATGCAATTTTGTGTCTAAAAATAAAATTAATATTCCTTTGCATGTAAATAGAGAATATTCGGGTATGCTCCCTTTTTTATGTTAAAAAAATGTGCCTTTGCGAATACGTTACAATCTGTTATTATACCTATTCAAATAACCTAATAATACATCGTATCAAAATTAATATTTTGATAATTTTTTTTTTTGTGTGATTAAGGTTAGTTTTTAAAAATAAAATAAAATTTAACACAGGAAAAAAAATTTAATATCGTTATTAAGCATGTAAATTATGATTATTAAAGTAAATGGAAGAAACTTTCTCTGTGAAGATAAAAAGCAAATTTATTAATTAACACGGTATAATGATATAACGCAAACTTTCGTTAAGACTATCTTGTTGTTTAAATTCAGTTAATTTACTGCAATTAAGTAAAATAATAACTAATGTCCCTTTCATCAACATTCGGACAAAACCGCTTTGACAAGACTTTCCCTCTGACCCTAGTAGAAGGTTGTAGGGGGGAAGAAGCAAAGCACTTGGAAGGGAAAGGGTGGGGTTGGGGGATGAGAAGGAGTGGGAGGGGTTGGGGGAAGAGGAGTGCTTGGGAGGCATGGAGGTAGGAAGTAAGACCTTTCCTACCTCCATGTTGGGAGGAGGAGGTGAGGGTGGAGAAATTGGGGAGTTGCGGAGCTTCTTTTATTCCACAATCGGCCTTTACCTACTACTGGCAGGCTTTTAGTGCCATTAAAGATTGGAATAATGTAGTAGCGCCATGCAGAACAGAATAATCTTGAATTGGCAGTAGCTTCGCAGAAAGAATTATCATCTGGGGAGAATGAATCCGGATAATTAGCTCAATCAAGTTGCACTTGAGTATGGGATCTGATTTCGTGTTTAAGTTCAGTTTTTCCTGGGAATTTCTATATCAACCATTAAATTCTAACAGCGTTTATCCGTTTAACTAGGTCAAGAACCATTGAGTTCTGTACTTGCCTCTGTCAACAACATACTTAATATCATTACTGACGGAATTATGAATTTCGGTGATAAGATTAATGATGAGAGTGTCTCATTCAGGTATTGAGTACTGAGGGAAAGCCCTAAACAACTGGATGTTGCTTAGGGCTTTTGATATTCCAAGTTGGTTTGTAATAAAGACCTTTTTGTGTGGTGTATTATAGCATGAGAAATCCAAATTAATGACCATAGTATTGTGATCTGACGACAATTCATTTAAGCTTTCCACGTGTGTGTATGAGCTGCTCCACCTATAAGAAGAAATCTATGACTGAAACTGAAGTATCGTTTTAACATATTGGTATCTGTGGAGTTGCCCTTCTAATTCCGGATGATATGGCAGATCACTGAATTATATTGGCTAGGTATCTGTTATTAGCTCAGATCCACTCTCGGTGATATACGTTAAAGTCTCCATCTAGAGACATTTGTTTTCTGAGTTGGAATAGTAAATATAAATCAGGTGCTACATTGTGTGCTCTTGTTCTGTGGAATTGCAAGCACAGTCAACTATGATTGGTCGAGAGTTGTGTAGTGTGATAGGTATAGTTAGACCTTCGGTTAAAATCTGTGCAATTGCTACGGGGTTAGGGAAATGGAATGCTTATTAAGACAATTAATCCACTTTCAGCGTGCCTTGTTGCTCTTACACGACCCAGACGATAAAAAATATAATTACAAGTACTATACATTAGGATCAAGCATATGTTTTTGGAGGAGAATTACCTCAGGGCGATATTCATCTAAAAACTTCCGTGATTCGTGAATTTTATGGAAGAGGTGATTTGCGTTTGATGTTACAATTTTAAAATTAAATCCAAATTTAATTATTTCTTATTAGCCCGTTAATCTCCCTGCAAACGAGGTTAAATTATATTAGCTTTCAGGAAAATAACATTATAGTTTTAATAGCATTTAATTTCCATGGGTGACTTTACTTAATTCAGCGCCAAAGGATATCTGAAATTCCGTTATTACTTTCGACAACTCAGAGATATCGGCAAAGCCATTAGAATTAATTTTCCCACTGTTATCCGTATTATTAACCTGTGCAGCAGTAGTAGTTTTTCTAGCCTGATCATACCCCATTTCCTTGGAATTTTTATTAGAGTTTGCCGTTTAAGCACAATTGAAACAAGGTTTGACGGTTTTTGAGATTTTTTTTCCGGGAGGGAATTTTGGACAACCACGGTACTTGCTGAATGACTTTTCGGGTCAGTTCGTGCATTTGGAATTTTCTGTATGTCCATTTTGATCACAATCAAAAAAATGTGTGTCTTTCCATTTGACCATCCATTTGTTCCATTCCGTTTGACATATCGTGACCAAAGTGACAACTCTTGGACAAGTAGTGTCCTTCCTGGCAGCTGAAAAACTGCGGGACTTGGTATTTGAAAACTTATTTCTCCACTTGGTAGAAAAAGTGATCGTCTGGTAAATTTCTTCAAACTTATTACACTCTTTTGCAAACAAAACGAAGTACCAAGGACTTTTGCGATCGTAACGAAATTTGGTATGTAAAAACATCTTGATCGAACATGCAAATGATCAAAGTTTCAAGGCAAATGAACGGGAATTTCGATCATAGCGAGCATTTCTAGTGCGTAATTCGCTAAGTATAAAACCAGTAATAGAGGCGAAAAATTTATCTTTTTTTGTTGCTCGCCATTGCAATTCCGTAAAGAAGCAACTAAAGATGCCATTACGACGATATCGAAGACTTTGTAGACAAGTAAACTACTTCCAATGTGGTCGCATTGTAGGCTTGCGTGAAGCTGGGTGGTCATACCGAGCAATAGGCCGCCACCTGCAGCGTACAGACACTGCTGTGCAAAGGTGTTAGCAATAATGCTTGCTACAAGGAAATTGTCGGCGAAATAAAGGTTCTGGAAGGCCAAGGAGCACAAATGCGAGGCAAGATAGGATAATTGTTCACCAGGCCCGAACCGCCCCAACGGTATCATTGTCGACTCTTCAGCGCACTACAGCCACGGCTATACTTCCCGTGGTATAGCCGTGGTATAGTCCACCAACTCACCGCGCTTGTCTGAGGCGGGGTTACCCTCACAGAGGCCTTTAAGACGTTTTCCTTTGACCTCACAACATCGAAGAAGTCGTCTGGAGTGGTGTCGCATACGATCATCATGGCTGCCATCAGACTGGAGTCGTATACTGTTTAACAATGAATCCCTCTTCACTCTTGAAGCAGATGACTACCGTGTTCGTGTCTGAAGAGGACGGGGCCAGCAGTCTCAATCAGCCTATGTCTTACAAAGGCATACAGCCATAACCCCTGGTGTGATGGTGTGTGGCGCTATTTCTTATGACAGCAGGTCATCTTTAGTCATCCTCCGTACATCTTAGCAGCTCAATGATATGTTGATACCATTCTGCGGCTGGTTGTTATTACCCTTCATGGCACGTCATCCTGGGGGCCATTTTCCAACAAAATAATGCCAGGTCACATACCGCTCGCATATCTCTGGACTGTCTCCGTGCGGTTGTTACTTTTCCTTGGCTAGCAAGGTCACCAGACCTTTCACCAATCGAGTATGCCTGGGGAATGGTAGGCCGCCTGATTCGGGCACCTCAAAATATCGCAGACCTGGAGCGACAACTGATGAATGCCTGTCAGAATGTGTCGCAGGATGACTTTAGAAACCTCTACACTCCTTGCCTCGACGAATTCAAGCATGCATTGCCGCCAGGGGCGGTTCGGCCAACTACTAATTTGAACACTCAATGGGTGATTGTGAGCCGTGAAAAAGTACTATGACCTTGATTTTTTAATCATTTTATTATCTGTGTATGAGCTATTCAATTTCAACAAAAACAACCACTTCTTTCAAGGTGCTTCGATTCTTTTGCAAAAGCATGTATTTTTCATAAACTAGATCTAGAATGCCGGTGCCGGCGTGTCGGTCCTATTTTTTTTGTCAACCACACAACTTCGTGCGCGTCATACCCACAGTCAGCTGGGGCATAGTGAATATTTCCTGTATTCATATTATAAAGTAAACCTGTAAGATTTTAATCGGTTTCTGGTGATGCGGGTTAAATTCAAAATATTCAATTGAATCGTTTAGAAGAAATGCGCAAACTTGTTTTGGAGGTAGATAGCATTGACGCTATCCATTTTTGTACGTATTTCACACAGGCAAACAAATGGGAGGCTGCATAGCTGGTTTTCGAGGTTTTTCCTATGTGTGACATGAACTTGTGCCAATTGCCCTTGGAAAGTCCTCCAAGAAAGCATCTCTGCACTTGTCTACTTTGCCAATAATTTAACCGCTTAAATATTTTTATTAATTTTATTTATGAAATTAAGTAATATACTTGAAAATCAGCTGAATTTATGTAAAATACTTTTGTGTTTTACATTTTTGTTTCTATCCACACAAAATACAAGTGCAAGATGTTTTTGAAGTTAAAGATACAGTTTGTAATTACTTCGAGAAATAACATAATTATTTATATATGATATAAAATCTCAACTTCCCCTAACATATTCTTAAATTTTCACATTGATATAAAATTTAGATGATGCATAACTAAAACTGATCTTGAGAATTTTCTATCCATAGGTCAAACTCACAATTTTGCTAAATATACCGATGGAAGATTGCACCATTTAGGTGAACGATATGATTATGATTCGATTATGCATTATGGAGCATACGATTTCACACGATTCCACAATCGTCCTACTATACTTCCAAAGCAACGCAACGTCTTCATTGGCCAACGCCTAGGATTCAGCCGAACAGACGTGAGAAAGATCAACAAGTTGTATCAATGCAATACATATCCAGTTGGTATGTTAAATTTCTTTTCAATTTCTTGATCTTAAAAAATTTCTAAAAATCAAAAAATTTCTTGATTTAAAAAAATTCTAAGTTTTTAAAATATGCTTCAAAGTGAAAAAGAAAAAAAAATACCTTCCTATTCTTATCATTACCATATAGGTTGAGCTAAAAATTCACTACCCATTGAATAATAACTAAGCTCACTACAAAATTACTTTTCAAGCTGTTTTTCAATGTATCAACCGGGATTACATCAACTGGTTATCAGACACAAATGAAAGATACTTATAATATCAAGGCTAAAAATAAGATCCGAAATAAGCAGACTTTTAAGCTCATTTAAAACATAAGAAAATATTACAGTAGAACATCGTTATATATGTATAGTAGGCTCCGCTTAATGCGATCACGTTTGTCCAAGGCTATTTTGATAGCATTAGCCAAATTGGTACTTATGTATTATCTCAACCACCTTAATAGAAGTCGCATTTTTATTGTATCATTTATTAATAAATTATGTATTTTCCATTGAGATTTAGACCTAAGGATGTCTACTCAGTTTTAACTATCAAATGCCCATACAGTTACATATTTTGGTATATATATATATATAAAAAATGCAAATTCAATTTATAAAAAAATGCAGATTCAAATTCAATCAAAATTTTATTTTTATGTCTGATGATCCTTATGTCAAATACTATTCTTATTTCAAATGTTATTCTTATTCTTACCCATTCAGCAACTCACATCTACTTGAAATGCCTCACTGATAGATTATTTTGTAGGTCTTTTGGCCTGTTTATCGACGTTCCACATTTCTGTCGCGATAACCATTTTTCTGGTTGCAAGGAAAACATGAAAAAGCAGTTCTGAATTTAAGGTGATATTTGTTAATTCTTTTACTTCCTTAATGTTGCAGATGCCAAAAATACTTTCAGAATATTAGGATTTCTTCTGAAATTATTACTAGGGTAAGATTCTGAAGGTTATTTCACACTACGCTACTTCTGTTCGATGAATAATGAATAATTCGATTTAAACAACGATTCTCAACATATTTTTATACGAAAGGAGCTTAAAATTTCGGAAGCAAATATCTTCCGAAAAACCGTGAAAGCTCAATTTTCATCGTAGTACTTATCTGGAATAGAATCTCACTAGATGGTTGCATCAATAATCTTCTCCACGAAAACTTTTGCAGCTGGTTATAGAGTCATTAGATGATATCCCATACTTCAAGTATAAGTCTTAAAAGATATATCAGTTTCTTTTTTTAATGTGTGATAAAGACTAATCGAATCTCTGGTGAATAAATACCTTGAAAGCAAGGATATAATTCCATAACTACCATACTTGACAGATTTATATCTTAGTGAACATGTGAGGGATATTTTAGAAGCACGAGTTAGCAGTACGCTTGTTCCTTCCTCAAAACCTTCAGGAACTCATGTCTGCCTTTCTGGAAAAACGAATAGTTTAATTATCAATTTAATAATTTCAAGCGGAAACATTTCTTGCCTTTCATGGAAGACTGTAGTGATTACACATTACACTGTTTTTATTCAAAGTAACATAGGTGCTATATATATATATATTTAATTTAAAAAAAAACTTTGTTGTCACGGCGTTTAGTTTGAAAAAAATAGGGGGGGTGGCAAATTATGGTGTAATACTTTAAACAGATTTTTACTGTGTTATTTCAGAACCTTTGAAAGTTTATTAGAACTTCAAAATGTTTGTATATCATAAATAATGGTGAATATTAAAATTATCTTTAAATTTTGTACTCCAGTGTGTTTCATGTGCCACTAATTATTCCATAAAGTTTTTTCTTCCCTTTATTTCTTGTTAGCTTTATGTGGCAATTGTAACTTTGCATGGTTTTTGAACACTGAGGGGCTAATGATCAAAGAAATTAATTTTGCAACTTCGTATGAGTCAGCACGCCATAAACTGGTACACAATTCTGTGTTTCATCTCGTCTTCTTTTGATGAATTTCTTTGCATTCAGAACTCGTCTGGAGACTGAATAGTATGCTTGTTCTTAAACTTTTATTGTCAGCATTTAAAAATTATACTATTTTTATTTTTTTAATTCAAATACTGATTGCTAATACAGGATACGCGAAAATAGGTGGTTACCACCAGCAAATTGGTATGTGAAACCAGCAAATGTATTTCCAAGACGGGAGCTAAGTTTCTGAGCTAAGGAATAAGGACAGATTCAATACGGGCTTAAAAATTCCCTTTAAAAGTATTGGAAATGGCTGATTTAAGATCAATTTGTCTTACTTCACTATTTCAGTTAAGCGGGATTTAACTGTATTACTTAAACAGCCGCTTCAGCAGCATATAAGGAAGCTAATTACCATTTCAGAGAAAACGTTTTCATCAACGAAATATATATATATGTTTGGCATTTCATGTTTTATATTTTTGTTTCTATCTTTGCATATTATTATTGTAGTACTGGGGTTGCGAATGCATGTAGGGAAAAGGTATGGACATTTGAGAGTCACTAAAATGTTGTTTTACAGTAAAGATTTGATTCGAATATAGCAGTTTTTGACTCTCAAATGATTCAGAGGAACGAAACATGTATTCGGAAATCATTAATCAACTTGGTTTAATGCTTCAAAACACTTTTCCCTTGACAAGTTCTGTTTGAAGCGTTAAACAAAGAAGATTAATACATATTTTTTGTTTTTGTTCTATATTGTTTTATTTTCAGTTTTCTAATTTTACATGAACTCCTTTTGGGTTGCGACTTTTATTAAGGAAGAATTGGTGAGAGCCTTCATAGGGAAGAAATTATAAGCTAGATAGTCCCAACTTTTCCTTTTAATTTTATTATATATATATATAATTTATTTACTAAAGAAATATTGATTATATTATCTCTTAAGATTAATTTTAGTAGAATTATCTAAAAAGAGTGAATCCATAGTTAGTAAGTTGAATTCCGAAAATTGTTTTAAACTAACTTGAATGTAAATTGTTAAAAATGTTTAACGGGGACTTGAATTAAATCATGAATAACAAAATTTCAATTGTAAAAAGAAATTAAATTAAAAGCAAATAATTAAATTATACAATTTACATTCAAGTTATTTTAAAACAATTTTCGGAATTAAACTTACAAACTATGGATTCACTCTTTTTAGATAATTCTACTAAAATTAATCTTAGGAGATAATATGATCAATATTTCTTTAGTAAATAAATTATTATTAACTTACTTTGCAGCTATTGTGCAAGTAGTAGACTAGACTAACTCGATTTCGCACTAAGTGAATTTAAGAACATACAACATTATATATATATAATTTATTTACTAAAGAATATTGATTTTACAATTGAAGTTTTGTTATTCATGATTTAATTCAAGTCCCCGTTAAACATTTTTAACATTTTTTGAAATTGAACTTAATAAATATGGATTCACTCTTTTAAGATAATTCTACTAAAATTAATCTTGGGAGATATTATAATCAATATTCTTTAGTAAATAAATTATTATTAACTTACTTTGCAGCAATTGCGAAAGTAGTAGAATAACTCGATTTCGCACTAAGTGAATTTAAGATCATACAACATATATATATATATATATTATATATTATATTATTAATTTATTTCCTAAACAGTATTGATTAATTGATTATATTATCTCCTAAGTTTAATTAAAGTAGAATTATTTTAAAAGTGTGCATCCATACTGGTAAGTTATATTTTGAAAGATGTCTTGAAGTAATTTGAAAGCAAAATGTTAATAATGTTTTAACGGGGACTGGAGTTAAATCATCACGAAGAATAATATTACAATTGTAAAAGTAAAAATTAAAACATGTAATTATTGTCATTGATCGGAAATTAGTTGACTTTTCAAGGGGAACACACCAACTCCCGTTCAATGATCAATAATTGATAAAAATACGTAAATATGAAAGTGTTTCGTCTTTACTCGAGTTATAAGTTAAAGCCAAACCGGCAATTCTAGTCAGGCCAAATATTTCCCCGCGAATAGTTTTTGTTACTCAAAGAACTTATTCTCATGAAGCATTTTAGTCAATTCAATTTGGAGTAAAGATCAATTACTGTAGAGAAATCCTGTAAAACTCGAGTAATCTCCCCGGCACTATCATCTTTATGTATATGAGTACTATATTATTTGTAGAAATTAAACATTGGAAATTGTCATTATGAAATCGAAATCAAAGTAAAGTTGAAATAAACATAGAAGATTATAAAAAAGATAAATAATGCAAACTTTGTAAAAACAAATCAAAGAGAACATAAAAATAATATAAAAATAATAAGAACTCCACAAAATACATCCCTCAAGAATTCCAAGTCCCACCCACTACCATAAATTTCTTCACCCAAGTCTTACCGACTGATATAATTCAAAGCCCCTACTGCCGCTAAGAATTTTCGGACACCCTACACTTCTGAGTCAGACACGAAGAGAACACATTGCCAACTCCCCCACTAGAAAGAATGTAAGTTACTTAATACCTTTCTGGCCTTTATATCTTCATGTACATTCACTGATCTTATTTATATTATTTTCTATTTTATTTTTATATTATTTTTATGTTCTCTTTGATTTGTTTTTACAAAGTTTGCATTATTTATCTTTTTTATAATCTTCTATGTTTATTTCAACTTTACTTTGATTTCGATTTCATAATGACAATTTCCAATGTTTAATTTCTACAAATAATATAGTACTCAAATACATAAAGATGATAGTGTCGGGGACGATTACTCGAGTTTTACAGGATTTCTCTACAGTAATTGATCTTTACTCCAAATTGAATTGACTAAAATGCTTCATGAGAATAAGTTCTTTGAGTAACAACTATTCGCGGAAATATTTGGCCTGACTAGAATTGCCGGTTTGGCTTTAACTTATAACTCGAGTAAAGACGAAACACTTTCATATTTACGTATTTTTATCAATTATTGATCATTGAACGGGAGTTGGTTTGTTCCCCTTGAAAAGTCAACTAATTTCCGATAAATGACAATAATTACATGTTTTAATTTTTACTTTTACAATTGTAATATTATTCTTCGTGATGATTTAACTCCAGTCCCCGTTAAAACATTATTAACATTTTGCTTTCAAATTACTTCAAGACATCTTTCAAAATATAACTTACCAGTATGGATGCACACTTTTAAAATAATTCTACTTTTAATTAAACTTAGGAGATAATATAATCAATTAATCAATACTGTTTAGGAAATAAATTATTATTAACTAACTTTGCAGCAATTGCGCAAGTAATAATAACTTGTATTCGCACTAAATGGATTTAAGTTCATACAACATATATATATATATATATATATATATTCCACCAACATGTTATAACCGGAGATCTCAATATCATTGAAGACTTAGAATTGCGAGCCCTTTTACAACTTGGCACCAAATTTCGTCCTACTTTCAGTATCAATAAACACTTTTGTCTCAAACAATTCAATCAAGATCTAGATAAATTTATCATGTTAGTTAGTAATAAATCCAATTTACCTACTACTACTTTTCTTGAATGGAAAACTGCACTAATTAAAGAATTTCAACATTTAATTTTCAAGACGCCTTCTTTCAACTCTTTACACAACAAGAAGCAACTCTATGATTTTATTAAAAAGCAACAAGATAACTTTATCATTACAAAAATTGACAAAGCCAGCAACAATTTTAGTGTTATATGAAAAAAGTTTTACTTCAACCTTCTGCATAAAGAATTAAATAGCAATTGCACTTACCAAAAAATAACTGCCAGCACTAAAATTCTTCTCAATAAATTTAACGCACTACATAAAAGACTCAAGATACACCCCCGGAAATATAATAACAGATTTGCAAATCTCTATGCGCTACCAAAATTTCATAAGTCTCCTATTAAATTCAGGTTCATTGCCAATAGTACCAAAAGTTATCTTAAAGAAATAGATTATCTTTTTGCAAAAAAAACTTCGTTTAATACGTGACTTAATTAATAACTATGATTTTAAGGATCTACATTGCAACTGGATGATTTCAAGTAACGAGCTAGTTATGAAGACTAGCTCGACCATATACAACGAGCTAGACCATATACAATACTACGATTTCGAAAACCTCTATACTACCTTACCACTTGAAGAAATATATACAAGCTTACTTGCTCTACCGGATATAATTCCACAAATTTCGACAATAATAAATACCGAAAAATGGCAACTTTTTCTTTCAAGCATGCTTTTCAATAATTTTATTCAATTTAACAATAGCATCTTTAAACAAATTCAAGGAATTCCAATGGGAGGTAATTTTTCCAGTGCTGTATGTGAATTATTCCTTTTTACAAAAGAATTGACCTTTGTCCGTTCACTAAGTAAAGAAGAACATAAATTTTACCAACACATCTATCGTTACATTGATGATATCATTGCCTTTAACAACCACAACAAAATAGAAGCTGCTAATATCTACCCAACTTGCTTAAAACTAAATAATACAAATACGGTGCAAAATAATGTAGTCTACCTTGACTTAAATATTATTGATTACAATTTTATAAAAGTTTACGACAAGAGAAGAGAATTCATTTTTTCTACACTAAAGTTAACCAACTGGAATTCTAATATTTCCAAAAGAATCATCATTAACACAATTTTTTTCACAGCTACTTAGAATAAAAAGAATATGTAATACTACAGAACACTTTCAAGAAGAAATACTTTACTTCGTAACAATTTTGAAAAATAACCTAATTCCTCATAAAATAACTAAAAATACCTTAAAAAAAGCTGGCATTAGCCTTACCAATTTTTAGATAATTTATTTTGGATAATGAAATTTTATACTTAAAGCCCAATGGGACGATATAAAGTGGATGGCTGATTCAGATAATCTAATGTAAAAATGTACAGATAATTCTCGTCACTTACTTTTACGTTTTCTTTCCTCCAAAGATTTTTTCACAATACTTTAATACTATTGTTTTAATAGTTTTGAATTACTTAGATGGCCAAAATTCTACTTTTATTAACAAATCGGACCTTTTCATTTTTCATTGTAGCTTGATCGCCCTCTAGCTTGAAGAACGACGACTTTTATTAACAAATGACTTTTTTCCATTTCACTCTTACTTTCGTGGCCATAATGAATAATCTTAGCTGAATTAGCCATTTTCACATTTTGAAGCTGTTTTGTTCTTCTAACAACTTGACTGACGCCATTTTGAATTCTTTCCATGTCTTTTCGAGTCTCTCAAACCCTCTTTAGCAAAGGGCGGAGATAAGAGTTCCCGCCAAAGTTACAATCTAATCGCATTGGGCGGTACGGAATGGCATTGTTTCACCCGCCTACGTCACACGACGAGAGGGATGGCTTGGTAGGACACTTAGGGGATTACACCCCTTTTCAAATATGTTTCGCGATCCAGAGGTCGGCACTGCCACAGGTCTCTTTTTTACGTTTTTTATGCCTTTTGTGTTTCTTAAAATCTTTTTCTTGGTCCAAGCAAGACCCACAGCGTTTGTTTTCATTAGTATTTAATTTCATTTTAATTTGATTTCAGTACCATAATCTTTATAAAGGTTTTATTCTTCTTTAAGCTAGCAGGACCAGCCCGTACGTTATTGTAATTTTTGACTAATAACAGACCGCTATTTATTTTGATTTTAATTTGTTTTGCTCGGAGTTGCATTTACTTTTTCTTACACCTTAATGTGTTTTTCTGCGGACGCGTCGGGAAATTGGAACAGAGAATTGAAGCTCCAAAAGATTTTTTCGGGACAATTCATATTATTTAAAAAAAAAATTTCCGTCAAACAAGAGCTTCAATTGTCTGTTTCGGCGAAACGCGTAATGGTGTTTGGCCTGGTTCGACATTCAACTATTTTTCCTTTGAAAAGCCTGGTTGGATGTCCAATTGGGCTAATTTACCATTTTCCACTTTGTAATTTTTGTAATTTTGCAATTTATGTTTTAATTATAATTTTTGCAATTTATGTTTTAATTATTTTTAAATCTTGTTTTAACTTGTTCCGTCGATCTGTTTTTATATGTATTAACTTTTCACATATCACAACGATCAGATTAGTTTACTTGTGCATTCACATGTTTTCCAACATTGATTTTAACAGTTTTTTTCGCGTGTAAGCTGTTTTTTCACTTTTCCATGTTAATATTTTTTAAAAATTACTTCTATGTTAATATTTTAAAAATACTGCATTGAACTATTTTATGGAGCTACAGCTCCTGGTAACTTTTCAGCAAGCTCTCTACAATATTTCTTCCTTTTATTTCAAATTTTTGCAGCATTTTGCGCAAAAAATTTTGAAGATCAAATAGGTCTTACGTCACATTACTTGTTAGCTTTTCAATTTCTATTTCGATTTTATGTTTGTTAAAAAATATATATATTTATTTTCCTTAATTTTGCAGCACAATGCGCAAATTTTGACCTAAATTGGTCTTTTTTCATTTGCTTTTACAACCTTATAATAATAATAATATATAATAAAATTAAAAGGAAAAGGCTATTGGTAAAATCTTGTCGAAAATAGCCAAGGAATTCAATAATGCTTGCCTGTTTTTTTTACGTTAAATAAACGATCGCTTCAGTTTATATTTGAAAATGCCAAGTGACGAAAAGGCATTTATCTCATTTACAACAAGAAACGTTAAGCCATATTTGTAGGAGGATTATAAGAATTATAAGGTGTTTTATAAGATTACTGGATGCGTTAACACCACTAGTAGTAATTTCAGTATCAGTTAGATTACTGATTCTGTTTTATTATTTATGTATCGTATATTCCCAATATTATTCCTGTAATAAAAAAGAAGAGATAATGCATTTTTAATAATTACGGAGGTTAAAATATTTTGCCATTATATTTATTTATTAATGTAGAAAACTAAAATTATTCTTTTTATTGATAGAAACTTGCGTCGATTCTAACAGCCAATGTAGAGGTTGGGCTGAGCGTGGAGAATGTGAGAAAAATCCAACATGGATGCTAACCAACTGCAGGAAATCGTGTAATCAGTGCAGTAAGATCATTTTTCTACTCTGAATATGAATTTTACAAAGAATTTGAAGCAGTATTTAAAATGTTTTTTTACAACTAATATGAATTAGCTATTCGAGATTAATTTAAATGACAAACAAATCAGCAAGCAAACAAATAAAATTAATGAGTAAATAAACTTGCTCAAATAACAAAACTTGCAAAATTTTGAAGAAAAAATTTCCAAGACATCCATCTATCTGTAGATGATGATAATAATAATATATGCATTATACACAAAAAATTATACAACTGTTGTAATACACACACACACACCATCACAAAAAAAAAAAAAAAAAAAAAAAAAAAAAAAAAACTTTGAGGCTTTAGATTTCAGAATACTGCACGCAGAGCCAGGGCTCGTCTGAAAAGATGACATTGTGCCACTCCGGTATCCAACTTTGTCATTCGGCGCACCAGAGTTACTGTCCCTATCTATGCTGCATCGTCAAGGAAAGACGAAGTAACGGTCACTGTGCTGATAGTCCACGCGACTGCAAACGTCGATGCACCGTACGAGCGGATACTGGGCGTGCTCCAAACATACCTATTTCCTGACTAATGGCCCGTGATGTGGTCGTACGGGTTCACAGGGATGACCTCACAATATGTCTGTCCTCTCGTTTTTCATGGAAGAGCGCTGAGATCCTACATGCCGTTCAGTATGACCCTCAGCAACCCATTGATTCCATATTCGCATGACAGTGGTTGGATGTCGTCCAGTGTGACGGGCGGTATTACGGAACGATAATCCGCACTCTTGATAGGCAAGGATCCTACCTCTACCGAATCCAAACACTCGCTAATAAACATTTCTTCCTCTTATTCGAGGCATAACACGACATTCTGAGCAAACCTTGACCTTACAAAGCGTTTTCCGAATGAGAAATCCACTACACAGCTTCTTTTATGCAGTGCTTCAGATGTCATTTCTCCATCCTGAGTCGTCTAAATGCGTCGAAATACTAATCATTTGCATATCACAACCCCTTCTTCGTTTCCTGTGATTTTCACGTTTGTCAGATTACTCCTTCCTGGTGTTGCAATCTTAATGACCAGCAGTATATAATAATTTATTTACTAAATAATATTGATTATATTATCTCCTAAGATTAATTATAGTAGAATTATCTGAAAAGAGTGAATCCATACTTAGTAAGTTCTATTTCGAAAGATGTTTTTAAGTAACTTGAATGTAAATTGTTATTAATTAATTTGAATGTAAATTGTTATATGTAAATTGTTATTAATTTAAGATCATACAACATATATATATACCTACCCCACTTACTCGGCCTTTATTTTCGCAATCGTTGGTCGTAGTTATATACACTCATGTCCATAAATTAAGGATAATTCGGAGTCACGCGGAAATCGAACTCTAAAATAAATATATCACCTGTAAAATCACTACACACATCTTCAAGAATCATATGCAAATTTCAGGAAGTAACCAGATGACACAGATGGTACGTCACAATGACGAGAGTGTAAGAGAGTGATATATAAGGAATACAGGCAAAGAAGTAAAATTGTTCGCAGGCGCTTTATAAGCATTTCAGTGCAATAACCGAATAGTTATGACACAAAGGACGCATTTGGATGATTTTTTACGTGGTAGAATTATCGACCGTCTGGAATGTGGGCGTACCCAACTGGAAGTATCAGATGAACTTGGAATTGCCCAGAGTGTCATCTCCAGGCTTTGGCAACGATTCCAAGATGGTGGTAATGTGAGTAGACGTTACAGCACAGGTCTCCCCAGAGTTACAACGCCGAACGAGAACCGGTATTTGGCCATTACTGCCAAAAGAAGCAGGCGGAGCACAGCCTCAGACCTGCCTCGTCAGCTCTCTTCAGCCACTGGTAGGACAATTTCAAGGCACACCGTGTACAGACGCTTAGGGCAGATTGGTCTATATGCTCGTAGACCTGTCAGATGCGTTCCACTTACTGCAACTCACTGTCGCCTGCGGTTAGCCTGGAGTAGAGAGCATGCATTGTGGACACCGCAACAGTGGGCTTGTGTGATGTTTTCCGACGAGTCCAGGTTTAGCTTGCTGTCTGATTCTCGCCGGACTTTCATATGGAGAGCTCCAGGTACCCGTTACCACCAAGAAAACATCATTGAACGACACCGTTACGGTGGTGCAGTAGTGCTTGTTTGAGGTGGAATTATTCTGGGTTCCAGAACTGACCTGCATGTTCAAATTGGAACCATGACAAGCCAAATCTATCGGGACGTCATTCTGGAACAACAGGTACGTTTGTTTCGGGGCACCATGGACGTACGATTTGTGTTTATGAATGACAACGCCTGTCCTCACCTTGCAAACATCGTAAGCGAATGCTTTCAGTCGGAGGATATCACCCGTATGGACCGGCCAGCATTCTCACCGGACTTGAATCCAGTAGAGCACGTGTAGGACATGTTTGGCCGACGAGTTGCAGCCCGTCAACCTCCTCCTACATGTCTAACAGAACTTCGGAGAGCATTGCTTTTTGAGTGGTGTAATATTCCCCAAGATCAGATCGATAATTTGATACTCAGAATGCCTAGGCGTTGTACGGACTGTATTGCATCGTCTGGGAGACATACAATGTATTAACAATCATACCAACCATGTAATATTGTTTTTTTGTAAATAGGAGTTTTTTAGAATTTGCTCCAGGGAGAAAAAATCGCTAATTCTTTTAATAATATCACACATATAGCATCTTTTTTGCTCTTTACCTTTTGTTTAATAAATAAGCTTTTCAAATAAGTCAAATTTGTTTTGCTTCTAACTCTTCCTTGACCTGATTTTGCATTATCCTTAATTTATGGACATGAGTGTACTTTCAGAAGTGTTTTAAATAACGAAAAGTTTCATGCTTGGGCAATGTAAAATTTTTTAAAAAAATTTAGAAAAATAACTTTTAATGCAGTCTCCCGGTTCCAATACTTATATTTAGGAACGTTTTATACTCTTTATGAAAAAAATAAAAATACAAGAAGTTTGTTTCCCGTACGACAAAAATTGAACGGGGTCTTTCAAAATTTGCAGTTTTTGATGTCATTTTCCTCTTGCCTTGAGCGACTGGTTAATTAAAAGTTAGAATATCTCGAGGAAATAAGTTTAAATGCAGTGCAGCCAGAAAAAAAGTGTATAATTAAATAATTTGTAAAAGGAAGTCACGTGGTGTCCACATCGGATTTTAGGTCAGGATTTGAAAGATAAGGAAGCTGCAAATGTTCAAGTTTTTAACCTTTATTTGAGTTATGGGATACAAGATTTTAATATCCCATCCCTCTAAATTACTAACAAATAAAACTGTTTACTAACTAATATTAATTGAGTATAATTGTTTAACTTACAAGAAAAAGAAAAATCCAGTTAATTTAAATACACTTATGAACTATAATTTTAGATACTCCAGATATATAAAGTTCTACTGCATGGTGTATTCCTTACTAAACTTACAGATTTTAATAGATGGTATCATTTATTGAATAATATTTTGAAATATAAATTAATTACAACGACATCATGAGTGTATTTACTTCCAGGAAGAACGTTAACCTAAGAAACCAAACAAGTTCATTGTGAAGATATTTCAAGTTTATTTGCTGTACTGCTCAGTAAACTATTCATTCAGTCATCAGTTTTTCTTTCATAACTGTATATTAAAGTATCATCTGAATTAATTTTGATAATATTGCTTATGAATATTTTATATGTACTATTTGAATTACTTTTTAATAATAAATAAATTTTTCTAAGATACATATGGAATTAAATTTGTTGTCGTCTTACAAGTCAAAAACACAGACCGAATAAAAAATCGCAACATAATTTAGATTAGGCCTGCCCAATCCAGAAGACTTTTTTAGTCGCTTTGGAAATGCCTTTTATTCCGGCGACTTGTTCAAGATTTCTGTACAAAAGACTTACTTATTTTTACTACTTTAATTTCTTTACTACATTTTTTTAGATAGAGTAATCAGGATTACTTTTTTCGAATTTACTCAAACTATATACACATACATGTACACACATTTTTTTTTTAGGTAAAAATTTAAAATAGAATACGTTATTATACTAGTTTTTATTATTATTCATAAATTCACAATAGAACAGTTAAACATGTATAACTGTACATAAACAATTATAAAGATAATAATCAGCAAAACAATCGAATAATATTGTTGCGTGCGTATGGATACGCAATAGATTGAATGCACACAGAAACGATGGTATAGCTTGATAAATTTATTTAACAAAAAGGAACACTTTACAGTTCTGGAACTTTCCACAAAAATACATGCACAGCCCATTTAAAAAGGCGACGCTTCTATAGAGATCTCCGAACTCAGGCTGAACTAAACAACAACTGAGAAATTGATGCTCAACAAAACAGGGTCATTCCATAATTATCCTAAAAAACTGGAAGCGAGGTACAGAACAAAGATACGAACAATATTCACATTAGAAACCCAGGTCGCAATCTATTTATTTAGTCATAAATACAACTTAAAATACGTTTACGATAAGAAAACTTTAAAATAAGACTGAGATCACATAACATCTCGTATGAATTGCTTCATATGAAGAAGAGTGCCCGCAGAACCTTTCATCACTCATTTGAAAATGGTAGGGTACGAACTGCGAAAAATTTGATCGAAAATCCCCGTCTCCCCCTTTTTTTCTAATCCACGAACTGCGGGACGTTTCCTGTCCCCCATTTCTTTCCATGAAGATTGGGTGGTACAAAATGTCGTTTATCGCTATTAATGGGACATTCTATTGAGACTGCAAGCCTTTATTTTCGTTTATCAATATTGTAAAAATTGTGCATGTAAAACAAATATTAATTTAAAATCTGGCGTGTGCTAAAAAATAAATTTCTTTTAGACTCATTTTAAAGTTTTATGATGCTTAAAGGAATGATGAGCCAGATCTTTTTTATTCTCTGTAAGAATTAAAAACTTTCCAAGTTGTAGATTTTAGTCGCTGATATACACTAACTACCAATAAGTATTTGGACACCTGTAATAGGAAAAAAAAAAAAAAAAAAAAAAAAAAAAAAAAAAAAAAACTAACTTTATTCAAAATCAATAGTTGGTAGAGCCTCCACGAGAGGTAATTACAGCGTGGACCCTCCGGGGCATACTTTCCACAAGTCTTTGTATGGCAGCTAGTGGTATTTTCTTCCACTCGGCTTGGAGAAGACATAGAAGTTCCTTCACCGATTTTGCACGGGTAGTGCACCCCTGAATTCGGCGATGCAACTCGTCCCAGAGGTTTTCGATAGGGTTCAGGTCTGGACTCTGGGCAGGCCAGTCCATTCGATGAACTCCATTGGCACCATACCAAGCCTTGGTTAACGTCGAAACATGACAACTGGCATTGTCGTCCTGAAAGTAACAGGGGTCCAACCCGTAAAACTGCCACAACGTAGGAAGCACATTGTCATCCAAAATAGTGCAGCAGGCATCGGAGTTGAGCTTACCATGAATGGGGACCAAGGGTCTTAGCCCATACCAGGAGAAACACTCCCAGACCATAATTCCACCTCCGCCGAACTTGACTGTTGGCACAATGCATTCTGGCAGGAGACGTTCTCCAGGTAGACGCCAGACCCAGACCCTGCCATCCGAACGGTAAAGGGTGAACCTTGATTCGTCACTCCAAAGAACCCATTTCCACCGATCTACGGTCCAATTTCGATGTGCTTTGCACCACATTAACCGAGCAGCGCGGTTGGACTTTGTGATCAAAGGCTTATGGGCAGCAGCACGACCATGAAAACCAAGCAGATGTGCTTCCTTATGGATGGTATTCATTGAAACAATACTCCCGGATGCCTGTTGAAACTCCTCGCGGATGAGGGCCATCACCTGGGTGCGGTTCTTCCGAATTTCTCTGGCCAGCACTCGTCAGTCTCTATCTCCCAGTTTCGTTAGTCTGCCGACTCAGGGCACATTCCAACAATTACCACTCACCTTCCACTTCTTAATCACATAGGCCACTGTCGATTTTGGGTACTTCAGATCGCTAGATAAGTCCCTTAAGGATCGGCCACATTTGTGATACCCGATAGTTATACCTTTCTCGAAATCAGAGAGCTCCGAACTGCGAGGCATCTTGCATGCGACTAAAGCCGATGCTGTTTCCTACACGACATATACCGGCGGAGTCCGTGACGTACCTTAGGACCGCAGATATCGTCATTTGCATAGGTGTCCAAATACTTATTGGTAGTCAGTGTATATATATATATATATAATATATATATCAGTTTTGAACAGTAAACTTGATAGATTAAAGACATACGCAAAACTGATACATAATCAACCTATCAAATATCGGATTTGTAGCTCACCTTAAATAAGTTTCTTGTCTAGATAAATATTAACAAATCTTCTTAGATAGCAGAATGGTTTTAACTTTCAAATTTACCATTTTAGGGAAACAGTTCTAATTTAATTATAAAAATTATCTTTATTAAATCTAAAAATTGGACTTCTTAAGTCGTTCTAAATGCACACTAATATTATTGCAATATATTCCCGTATTAAGCTTTCCATTTTTAATCATTGAAGTTATTTTAAGATTATCTAACTCTGTTACAAATTTCATATTTTAATACTAGAAACATTTAAATATTTATTCTGTTTTCCACCTGATGTACTTTGGCATACATTTAATTTCTAATACACATTTAATTAATAAATTAATAATTATGAGCGTCAGCAGAATTTTCATAATTAACAAACAAAAAATAAATAAATATATAATATATAAATTAAATAAATAAAAATAAACTCCCATATATTCATATCCTGGAAATTTCAGTTCCCTTTTAATCCATTCCTTTTTCACATATTGTTGCACTGTACTCAAGTTTTCATGTATGTAGAATTTATATACTTTGTATTGTATTTATGCCAATTTATATTTAAATGATAATTTTTACAAATTCTTGCATCACAACTCTAGTTAACAGAAGATGTTTCTAACACCATGGCAAAGCTTAATCTTCAGCATGTAGCTTATTTTCCAACCTAGTTTCAGGTTGAATTATTTGTAAAATTAATTACTTGAAATATTTGTTAACAAAGATGGTCGCTAAATCACGCTAATAATATTTCTAACTGTTGTAATTTATAATATAATTCATTTATAATATTTTCAGCAGTATTGAAATTAATAGCAGATACTGATAATGATATACATTTAGATTACAATGATTTAGATTGCCATTGCCTTCTTCACTCATGCTTTTATGCTACATTCCTAATATTTCATAATGGCATACAGGTAAGTTTAACTCATTCACCAAACATGTAAATCTCCAATTCAGCCCACTTTTGTTCTTATCGTGTGCTGTATCTTCTATTTTCTTTAATATATTGTTCAGCCTAATTTCAAAAGGTCTATGATCAAGCGGAAAAGTCACTAAACATTGGTAGTTCGACCCGAGTTTCTAGTCCCAGTGATCCCCCAGCTCTTTCTTTTTTTGTACTTATTTACTGTATAAAAATGTATCGTAAAAATTTCAGTTCATGAAGTAAAATACTTTTTAAATTTATTCTTTAAAAATATTGCAAAAATTTTCACCTTTACCTTAGCATATCTTTTTTACAAATCCCTCTAACAAGAAAAAATAAGGAAAGAAATTAACTCAGTCTCGGTGCAAATTATATGTAACATTTTTCCAAAAGCATAGAGTTTATATGGATATCAATAAATTAAGGATTATTTCTCCATCTAATTTTCTTAACATGTTTATTCCAGAATTTTCTTTTCACACTGTAGCGCTTAACTTTATGAGTTTTCTATAATCATTCAATTTCTCTAGCCGTGGCAACTTTGCATACCTTCTGACAAGTAGTTATATTTTTAACCACTGTATTTTAATTCCTGTTGACTATCAGTACATTATTCACTTGTTTCACGAGTGCAACTTTTATTTTATACGCAGATCTGTGTAAAACAGCATTAAAACTTCAGTTATGCGGAGCTCCTGATCGATTGCTTGTTTTAGATTGAATGAAATTAAGCTTATGTTACTGTTAATTAGCTTGTTATTAATTTAATTGTATGTTTCTATCTAATTATATGTTCAGATATTTCCAAGTATATTACACAAACTTTTGCATCCTAATTTTTAGTTTTTGGTTAAAAAAATAAGCTTTTATTTATTGAGAGACCTGATTGATTATATTAATTTGCAGTACTGTTTATCTAATTCTTTTCTTCTAGATAAATTTTAGAAAAACTTCTTAGCATAATAATTTAAATTTATTTACAATTTATACGTCAGTGATCCAAACGCATAGTAATGTTGTTATAATAGATTTCATGCTAAGCTTTTCTTTTAATTTAACTATTAATTTCTGCAAACATTTACATGATTGCTTTAATTAACGAAAAATATTTCTAGCACACTTTAACACACTTTGATATGGAATAATTTTTTGGACTCTATTAAATTTTCCATTCTAGTTCAGACATCTGGACTATTATTGATGTAATTTATTAAAAATATAATTTGTATGCTTTATAATTATTTAATTTATATTATTATCATAATGAAAGATGTTTGTAATGCTAATATGTATGTTACCAATACCTTTTATTTTCTTTGTTAGCTCTCGTATTTATTACTGTTATTCAAGTAATTAGGCGTTAGAATTTTTCGTTTTGGAATTAATTCTATTAAAATTTCCTCAAACCGAAGAAATTGAACTGAGCCCTGAATTA